ACATATTGAGAGCTCTTTCTTAATTCGGTGGGAAATATGATCTGAATCTGTAGTAGGATAGGACTACGACTAAAAATAGATGTCGGCAAGCTTTTTATTTATATAAAAAGGATATAGATGGAGTTCCGACTTTTGACGTGGGACAGAAGTAAAAAATATTTTCAGCGTAACGCATTTCGACTGGTACATGTTGGAAGTCGAAGTGTTTACACGAATTTTCCGCCAAGAAACGCCAATCTGGGTCGTGTAACAGTGGCCGATTTCTCGCCTCACAGTGGCTACATGGCAGTTGGTGATGACACGAGTTTCTTGTCACTTTTTCGATTGTTACATTTTGACAGCTACTAAATTAGTCAAGTCAGGTACAAAAATTGACCGATGCCCCCCCACCTGAGATTGTTGAAAGTTAAGATTGTTTTCCTGTTTGTGCAGTTGGAATTTTTTCTCATAATTTTTATAATTGGAGCTGCGTTACCCCAATAATTAAATCTTTTAGCGTCTAAAACTCATCCTGTTACACGGGAAGTGTCAGAATGCGGGTATTTTTACCTCACATATGTTTTTAACTCTGTAAGTTTCCCTAAAAAGTTTGTTTTTCGAAAAAAACTTCTCCCCCAAAAAAATGAGTCCCAGCACACTGCATTAAAACATCAAAGACTGGAGCAGGTTCTGAATGAGCCAAGTGTTTTGGTAGTTTTAAAAAAAAGAGAAAAAAATTTAAAAAAAAAAAAATTTGGAAAATGTAAACTATGGATACTTGTTTGGCGCTGTAGGTCAGCCAATGAAAAGGATACAGTCGAATATAGTCAATTGTGGGAAAGCAGTGAGTGCTAATTTAGATACCCAGATAAGCGAGCTTGTATGTGCATTAGCTCTTGTCCGGTCTCTGTTTCGTCTCTAAACTTTAAACACAGACGGCAGAGTCGGTGCGGAATGGGATGTGAATCGTCAGTACAGTGCCCCACTCCGCTATGTTTTGAACGAATATGTGGCATTCGGATGGAAGATGATGTGCGGACATTGCATAACGAGAATATTTTTTTTTTTGCGTTGTAACAAACAAAAAACAGCGCATGATAGCAGTCACGAACAACACAGGCCTGATCAATATTCGTGACAGAAACAGATAATAATAATAATAAAAAGCAGCACGCCCAAATACAGGGCATAAACGAGGAAAATTGAGCAACAGCTAGCTTCTTATACACTACGTCGTCACTCAGAAAAATGAGTCCCCGCTGCAGCAATGCGCAAAAAAATTCTCGTTCATTGAAAATCCAAATCGATTTGAGAACAGAACTATGAGGGAGCCAGGGCGGAGGGGAAGGATGATCCAGGGGGGGGGGAGCGGGAGGGAAAGAGCGGAGCAACGGGAGAGGCGGAAGAGGGGAGGGGAGAGGGAGAGAGGGCGATGAAATTATTTAAAGTTTTTGCATAACCATACCTGAGAACCAGGCGTATTTAGGAACTGAATTTGAAGCTTTTAGGTCGTTCATAAATGGCTTTCTGATATGCCAGTTAGCACTCCCCCTGCCAATTTTCTAAGAATCCATACGTAAAACCCAGAAATGCGCGAAAATTAGTGCGATAAGGAACCCTACTGGCGAAATTTTAACATCAAGTTTATCGGCAGGTCCAGTTCAAGTACACACACGCACACACATACACACACACATAAACGAACACACACGCACGCACACAAACAAAAATCACACACACAATCATCACACACACACACAATCATCACACACACACACAAACACCACACACATACAAACATCACACACACACGAACATCATACACACATATACGAACACACACGCATGCACACAAACAAAAATCACACACACACACACACACACATAAACATCACACACAAACACCATACACATACAAACATCACACACACACACACACACACACACACACACACACACACACACACACATACAAACATCACATGCACGCACAAACACACACGCGCACACACACACACACACGCACGCAAACACCAAACACACACACACACGAACATCACACACACACACACACAAACACCACACACACAAACATCACACACAGACACACACATCGTCAGTCGTTGCAATATGCGTTTTTGCCTTGGCATAAATGAGAAAAAAAAATTTTTTTTGTCAGTAGAGTATGTTTTTGGTAATGGAGACATAATAAACTTGCGAAAAATCTGCAAAAACTAAATCGTGAAAATAACTGATATTTTAAATAACCAAAAAAAAAGCTTGAAATAATAAGTGCAACAGATTCCGAAAAATATGATGATATTATGCTAACAACCGATGCAATATAGTCATCTGAGTTTCGGTTAGACCGGCACCACGAACAACTGCTTCAAATAGATTGTTGTTTTCCTGTAAAACCAAAAAAAATGCAACAGAATTCACTGAACTAAAGCATTTTATTCATTCATTCAGCAATATCATCATTTATCTGCTTCTTCTGAGATCAGCTCCTATGCTTATCCCTATCAGCAACTGGCCTGATATTACCGTAATAAATCCTTTTACCAAGAACGCCAAGAATGCTCGGGCCATCAGTCTGGAAATCTGACGACTCCCACCCCAATCCACACCGCATACTGTCTGTGTTTGCAGCTTAGAGATGAAACACAGACAGCCAGTTTCACATTTAGCTTCCCCACATGTCCTCCCTACATCTTCTTAACTTTTTATAATACACATATGCGTTTCACAATCTGTTTCATTTCCTCTTTTCGTGGTCTCACGATGATCCATTCATCCCTTCCTACTGGTTTTAACAGGATGCTCCCGCGGCCCAGCGCAGCCATGCCTCTAATTCCTGTTGAACCTTTAAAAAAAAAAAAATCTTCGCCTCAAAAGTAGCCCTTTCTGTGAGAGATGAGTGGAATGATAAGTAAAAGACCACACGGGCCGTTTAGGCTCTGTGGACTGGAAGGAAGCAAGAACCCGTCCGGTACTGGATGACTCTGAATAGACCGTTCATAAGACGGCGTCGATCCAAAATCCGGTGACCG